CCGATGTGGGACTCGATCCCAGGATCCCGGGATCATGACCTGAGCCGAAGGCAGTCGCTTAACCAATTGAGCCACCCAGGCGCCCCCCTTTTAGTGATCTTCTAGGCTTCTGGTATTCCCCACGATTGGGACCCAGCGGATGCTCAAAGTGTGCTTCTTATGGATGACACTGTACCTTGCATAAATCATTTAACCTGAGACATCACTTTCTTTACTACTAACATGGTGTTGAAATAGGGGGCACCTGGGTGGCTTAGCTGGTTAGGTGTCAGACTCTTGATTTTGGCTTAGGTCATGATCTCAGAGTCATGACATCAGGCCCTGTGTCAGACTTCACACTGGGTGGGGAGCCTGCTCAAGATTCTCTCTCTCCCTCTCTCTCTGTCCCTCCCCCCACCTCTCTCTCTCTCTCAAAAAAAAAAAAAAAAATCTCTAGCTCATCTTCCAGATCTACATTTTACAATTCTCTCAGTGATGCTTAGCATCATATTTTTCTCCCTCCCTTCTACTTCTGAGATGGTCCTCTTGTCATGTCCACAGACTTGACCCCTGGCCCAGAACTTGTCATGACCACCCAATTCTAGACATCCAATTCTACTAACATTCTCCACCAGTCTTCTTTGGAGCCTCTCTAGGCATGCTCTTCAGGCAGAAAATGAGCAACATAAAAATACCACATAATCAACTCTTAGTTATAAAAAAAACAAAACTTACCAAATAATAAAGAAATGAGAGGTTGGTTGCAGCTGCACTTTTCACTCTACTGTCCTTTTTTTCAAACATTTTTAAGGTCTCTACAGCCTGGAAATGAAATATCTGGAAGTTACAACCATTGTAATATGACAGTATTCAGGCTTAAGGTTGGGGTAAAGATCAGTGTATATAGAGTATAAGGCCAGGAAAGGACACAAAGGGGGTGGGTTAATATGTTTAAGAAAACAGATGACAAGATGAGAATTTGAGAATTAAAATTTATAAAAAAGAATTCAAAAAACCCTAAAAATACAATAACTGAAATTAAGAACATAATAGATGGGCTTAACAGCAGATTAGATACAGCTGTAGAGAGTAGTAAATATTGGGCCTTGTGAGTCTTATGACACAGTTTAGTTTTTATCTTGCATAATGGGGTGTAAGTGAGGTTTTACCTAAGAGACACAATGAAATTTGCTCTTTACAAAATAATTCTAGAATTTCTGCTTCTGGCTATCAGAGACCAGCCTATAGAAGACCATTCTACAGAGAACAATTAGAAAAGTTATATTAAAATATTACAAGTATCTTTTGAAGGCACCAGAGAACTACTGAGGCAACCAGAATCTGAATGTCAAGATCCCAGAAAATTGAAAGACTAAATAAGCAAAGCAAACACAGAGGCTAAGAAAAGGTCTCAGGAAAGAACATAAGAGACATATGGGAACACAGTAAAAAGGTCTAACTGAAATGTAACTGGAGTTCCAAAAAGGGAAGAAAGACTAATGGTGGAGAATTTTCTAAAACTGATGACAGAAACTAATTCTGGAAGTATTACAAAAAATTATCTTAAGTAGATCCAAATATAATTATATTCTCAAGCCATGAGAAATGAAAGTGCATTTTTAAGCACTTGGCCGGTCTGAGACAATCCTAACCAAACAGGATATTTGGTCAAACACTGTGCATGATAGGTGAGTGAGTACTCAACCTAGAAATGCCTGAGAAATAACAGAAAAAAAAGTGGAGGAAGGCAATGGGTTTTCCTTCCTTCCTTCAAAATACATTTACTGAGAAAATGCTTGGCTTCTTGGCATCTTCTGCTCTTAAAGACAGTTGAGTCCAACCAAAAATCCTACTTTAGCTTTTATGATGGTTAAGAGCTGCTAATATTGAAAATATCTGACAAATCTGTGTTATGCAAGTGTTTGACCTCAAATGAAGTACCATTAAATGTACTGACTCAATTTTGTTAAGGGTAAAAGATTTTAAAATACTAGATTCTACATATATTGGTTATAATATAGGCAATTATTCTTTGCAAGGGTTTTTGATTATTTTAAAGAAAACCACTGGAAGTTTCTAGGCTAGTAGTTTATAATTCTACAAAGTAAACCCTGGAACAAAAAAGACCCCAACATCATATGCTCACTTTTCAGATTCTCCTTCTCACTTTCTCGGAAGAATCTTTGACAGAATTGCCAAGAAGTTCCTAAAATGCACCTCAAAAATTATTGCTGCTTACATTGTTCATCCTGTAGAAGTTATCTCATTGACTCTCTACACAATCTCCATGGCTATTAATGTAAAAGTCACTGTTGTTTTGAATCTTTAGGTTTTATAAGCTGCATTTCACTTTGAATAAGAATTGACAATGTTTTATGGGCGCCTGGGTGGCTCAGTTGGTTAAGTGACTGCCTTCGGCTCAGGTCATGATCCTGGAGTCCCGGGATCGAGTCCCACATCAGGCTTCCTGCTCAGCAGGGAGTCTGCTTCTCCCTCTGACCCTCCTCCCTCTCATGGTCTCTGTCTCTCATTCTCTCTCTCGCAAATAAATAAAAATCTTTAAAAAAAAAAAAAGAATTGACAATGTTTTAATCTTTACTTTTAGAGTGTGTCACAATAATAAAATGTGTTAATTTAAAATATAAGGCACATGAATAGGTGTAACTCACATACCCATTAAATTCTCTGAAGTAAAGTGCAGAGGGAAAGAAATTGTTTTCTGATATCTATGACATCCATAAAGCAGATTATCAAAAGCAAACTAACAACAATAATTAAAAAAAAACTCAGAATGCTATATAGGTTACATCATTCCTTTTAGAAACAACTATTCATATTATAGTCAAGAAAATGTCTTAGATTTTTAAATTTTCATCTTTGTTAAATTGTGGCCTATTAGTAACAAGACTTTAAGACTACATATAACAACTAATTATTCTCCCCTCAAAAGGTTACTATGAATTCAAACAATATATAAAAAGCAAAGCAATCCTAAGCCACTATTTAAAAGAATAACAGAAATATTTTGAACTTTACAACATTCATTTAAAGATTTATTTATTTATTTGAGAGAGAGAGAGAGCATGAGTGTGTAAGGGCACGAATGGGGGGAGGGGCAGAGGGAGAAGGAGAGAGAAAAAAACCCCAAGAAGACTCCCTGCTGAGTGTAGAGACTGAGATCATGACCTGAGCCAAAACCAAAAGTCGGCCACTGAACTGACTGAGCCACCCAAGTGCCTCAAACTTTACAACATTCATTAAAAAATAGCTGAGAGAATAAAAATATATTTCATATTTTAAATTTCTAAACTATAAATTACTCTAAAAAAGCTACAAAATTATTCTAATAAAGGGAATATTTCCAGGATATCTAGCTTTAAAATGGGCTGTTTTCATAACTGTTCTTTACATGTTCGATAAATGCATAGCCAATATTTCTGTTTTTAAAAATATTATACAATTCATTTCATTTACAAGTGAAACTGATAAAAGTCCACATAATAAAACTAAATTTAGTTTTAAATAGCAAAACAAATAATGAAATAATGAAAATAAACATTGTTAGTTTGGGTTGTGTTTCTTTCTCCCCCCCCACAAATGATTAGGAAAATAGATATATCTCCATTTTGGGTTTCTTTAGTGAAAGATGCCATCTATCTACTGGTTTCTGCATTCCACTACATCTGTCCATACATTATCACTGGCCTTCAGATCAAACTACTTCATTTCATCCATCTTTGGCTTTTTAGTGGATTCCTTCTCTACTACAAAGGTGACTACAAAACAGCACTATCATCGCAAAGAAACATACTCTTGAGATTTCAGCATCTTTACTCAGCTATAGAATTATAACCTCATATAAGAAGGCCTACATTTTTCTCTTTTATTTTGAATTGCAAATAAAGTAGTCCTCATCAAATGATCATTCTGAGTTATGTCAACCAATCCCTTTTAACTTAACAAGGTTCCTTTCAACTAAGGTTATATTATACCCACCTCATCATACTTACAATACACAAATAAAAGAAACACAAAGTCAAAGCAGCAATGTTGAAAAGAAAGCAGAAATTACATTTTTAAAACATAGGTAAACTAAAATCTTGAAAATGCAAATGGAGCATAAGGTATTTTAAATGAGGACAGCTAGGAAAGCAGCAAACAATATGATTTGGGTTAAATGAATTTTAAAATGAAAAAATTAAGAGTTTATCCTTTAACGGACAGTTTTAAAACATAAACCGTGGTAATACATTGTTAAATCTTTCTATAAAGACCATTTAAAAATAAAGTATCAAGAGAAAACTGGCAAACATGGTTTTCTCTATTTTGTCACCTAAAACAGTACTTATCACACACATAAAAATTATTTTTTTGGTGCATAGATGACTTTGGCAAGATAATAAAGACCAATTTGTCTGACTTCACTTCCACTGGAAAAGCATTACAATAGTTATAGAGAGTTATCACTGGCATTTTTAATGACCATGAGTGTGATGATCAAATGACACAACAGACATAAAGGTACTTTGAAAGTCTTTTTGGTGCTTTACAAATGCCAAAAAAAAGTTAAGCGTACTAAATGCATATATACAATGGAACCAGTCCATGGGACTGCATTATATTAATCATATAATGATTGTATGAACCCTGAGGCTGTATCTCCCTCCTCCTCCAGAAAGGAGTTAGTCATTTCTGTTGTCTCCTAGACAAAAGGAAGGCCCTTAGGTAGGAAGAAAAACTGAAAACACAGGCTTGGGATAGGATGCAGGAAAGGTACTGTGGCTTCCTCTGGCCCTACCTCTCTGGGTCTAAACTTGTGGGGGGCTGAGTTTTCCAGCTGTGGGTACATTTGACACTAATCATTGGTTTTATGAACCAGGATATCAAGTTTCATTCTGTTTTTTCTCTTCCGTTATCACCACCCCCATCCTTCCTTTTTAAAGCTGTCTATTCTTCTAGGTCTTGTCACAACTAGGTCTCATTTGAGAGAGACTACTGAAGGTGGAGTACCCATTCCATCTTGACCTAAGGTAGCAAGGTAGCAGTGGCACCAGCAAGAGATCCTGGAGCATTATGAAACTATGTATAGCAATGGGACTCTTTTATGCCCAATGCAATGTTAATGAGTAAATCAAATATAAAAATCAGGCAACAGGAAAGCTGCTCTGGTGAGAACAGTAGATGGAAGCATCAGGCTACTAGTTGGGCTCCTGGCCTTTCCTGATTCTAAAAAACCTTAGAGCTTTAGGTAACAGTTTGAAAACTTCTAGGGGAAAGCTGATCTCTGCACTAAAAAACAGTTTAGTAATTTAGGAACCACGCTTTACATGAACAGTATTTACATGCAGACAAACAGGACAAACAGGTCAAAATTAAAGTAATACTATAATATTGGAAATGATGTTAAGACAAGTAAAAACATTACTCAACTTCACAATAATCACAGATAACAATATTCTAGAAAAAACTGCCCAAGATTATTGCTTTCACCAGTTAACATATAAAACTTCATCTAAAACTTTCAAAAACTTACTTGGTTAAAGTCCTTTTGTCTCAAGTATGTAATTGCCTTGTTTATTTCCAGATCATTTGCTAACTCTACATATTGAGACGCTTTCACAACTTCAACACACCTATAATGGAAAGTATAAAAAAGTTTTTTATTTTGTTTTGGCATATTTATGTTGTTGGTGGGTTCCTTATGACTTTTCAAAACAATGTTAAAGTGCCCCTTGTGCTATCTAAGGCTAAGCACCTGATTTCTTCCAATGCAGGGAGTAAGTTACTGAATTCTTCAGTTCTACACTAATCTTATCTAAATTTCCTTTAGTTTACTGTCACGTCTAATTACTTACGGTATTTTAAATAAAATTGGATTGATATATATAGTCTCATTTTTTAATTAACTACTAAAACAATTTCAATTTGTAACAGGTAAAAGTCTTTCTAATGTATGTTCTGCTGGTGAGAAAAATTCTATAGAACTTGTAAAATATGTTTAAGTTTTATGTCTAACTTGAACGGACTATCACAGATCTGTTCCCAAAGCACACAGAACATTTGTTTTTAACTATGTATCAGACACTGCACCAATTCCTTTATAAGCATTATCACATTTAATCCTCACAACAACCCTGAAAGATAGGCATGATCTCTCTTTTATAGATAAGAAAATGGAAGATCTGAGATCAAACATCTAGAAAACTGTCAAGTAAGAATTTGAAACCAATTTTTATTGATACCAAAATCCACTGCACCAAGACTATTCTTCAAATTGAGGTCAACTGAAATCAGTTTAGTTGATCATGACCCTTATTTAAAAAAACAGAACATATAAAATATCAAAGGGCATTATACATAATAAGGACAAGGACTGTTTCATGCAACTTGTTTCAGTAAACAATGAAGAAGAAGAAATAAATTTCTTACCAAGGTTCTGGTTCAAAAATATTTCAAATCCAATGGCCTGGACAAAGAATTTTTTTTTAAAGATAGATTTATTTATTTATTTATTTATTTATTTATTTATTTATTTATTTAACAGAGACATAGAGAGAGAAGCATGAACATGGTGGGGAGGAGCAGAGGGAAAGGGAGAGAGAGAATCTCAAGCAGACTCCCCACTGAGGGCGGAGCCCAATGTGGGGCTCAATCTCACTACCCTGAGATCATGACCTGAGCTGAAATCAAGAGTCGGACACTTAACTGACTGAGCCGCTCAGGCACTCCTGGCTTGGACAAACAATTTAAAAACATTAAAGCAGAAGATCCCTTTCTTCAGGTAGAATCTTTTATTTTATCCTCGACTTATCAAAGAACTTCTCTGCTTGCAGTGGGGATAGAGGACGTGAAGCTCTGCCTGCACAGTACCCCTCTGAATGGCCCTCTGTCCCCAGCCCTACCCCAACAAAGTAGCCTATAGACATGGCTAAGACTGCAAGGGTTCCAAGAGAATGATCTGGAAACCACTGATACACCAATGCATTCAGCAAACATTTGTTGAATGTCTACTAGATGTCAGTAGTAGACATTCAACTGGTATATTTGGTACAGGGGCTAAAAGGATAAACAAAGTATGGTTCATGTCCTTACAGGGGAAGCAGACCAGTAAATTAAGTTCTGTGTAAGAACTATTATAAAGGAATATAAGAATGCAGCAGTAGAGACTCTAAACCAGACTGGGGAAAGGTATTCAGAAATATCTGCCACTCAGTTTGAATCTAACTTCTTATTACTTACAAGAGACACACCTTAAATTAAGAACATAGAATCATCAAAAGTAAGGTGAAAAAAAGAAATAGCACGAACCAAAAGAAAACAGACAATGCAAACTTTAAGGCAAGAGACATTATTAGAAGTAATAAAGGACACTGCTTAATAAAAAAGGCTTATTAATCCACCAGGGATATACCCCTATTCTAAATCTTCATGCACCCAATAACATAACTTCAAAATAATATAAAACAAAAGTTAATAAATCTAAAGAAATGCAGAAATCTACAACTATAGTAAAAAACCTTTTAACACACTTCTCTCAATAGCTAAAAGAATATGCAAACAAAAATCAGTAAGGATAAAATGATAGATTCCTTAAAAAATACACCTTATTAAAAATGACACGAGAAGAAAATCAGAAGTCTTATATTTATTAAAAAAGTAGAATCTGTTTAATAAAACTCTTCTTATAAAGAAAACTTCAAATGCAGATGGCTTTACTAGTGAATTCCTCCAATTGTTTAATAAAAAAATAATACCAATCCCATAAACTCCTCCAGAGAGGGGGAAAGTATCTGAACTTGTGGTATAAAGTCAGCTTACCCTTGTAACAAAGTCAAAGACATTATTTTTTTAAATTACAAACTTCAGGGGCACCTGGGTGGCTCAGTCAGTTGAGTATCCAGCTCTTGATTTTGGCTCAGGTCATGATCTTGGGGTCATAGGATCAAGCCTCATGTCGGGCTCAGTGGGGAGGTGGCTTGATTCTCTCTCCCTCTGCCCCTCTACCGGCACTCGCTACTCTCTCTCTCTCTCCCTCAAATAATAAATTCTTAAAATTATAAACTTCATCCTTCTCATTAATACGGATGCAAAAATCCTCAGCTAAAGATTAGTAAATCAAATCCAGTGATATTTTAAAAGGATAATACATCACAATCAAGCAGAGTTCATTCCAGATGATTTAAATCAAAAATCAATCTTACGATTTTTTGATAGATGGATTTTCATAAAACTCTTAGCTAACCGAAACAAAAGGAAACATTCCTTAATATGATAAAGAGTATCTGCAAGAATCCTATAGCAAGCATCATACTTAATGGCAAGTTGTGGAAAGCTTTACCCCGTGAGATCAGGAGCAAAACAAAAACGCCTATTTTTTTTTTTAATTTAATTTTATTATGTTATGTTACTCATCATACAGTACATCATTAGTAAAAATGCCTATTCTATCACCACTTCTATTCAGCCTGAACTGGACATCAAAGCCAGTGCAATGAAGCAGGAAAACAAAAAGAAGCATAAATATTATCTGTAGATGGCATAAATGTGTATGTAGGTAACCCAAAAACATCTAGAGACAACTATCTGCATTAGTAAATGTATTAGTAAAAGTGAATGTATTAAGGTCAGTGGATAAAGATCAATATCTAAAATTCAACTATATATCTACATACTAGAAAAGTGCAAGTAGAAAATGAAATTTTAAAACTATGCCCTATACCATTAAAAACATCAAACACGTAAGAATAAATGGAACAAAAGACATGCAGATGTCTAGACTTAAAACAAAAAAGTATTTGAAAGAAATTAGGGAGACCTAAATGGAGGAATGTATTGTACTTACAGATTTAAAAAGTAAACATTTTAAAGATGTTCTCTCCAGCCTGATCTATAGATTTGAATGAAATCCCAATTAATTTCCCCGTAGGTCAAGAGAAATGGAAGACAAGCCACAGAGTAGGAAAAAATATTTGAAAAACAATGTCCAGACTCTCACTAAGCTACTGCACAGTACTGCTGCCCCACTGTCCAAGAGGCCTGCAGTGACCAAAAACCAATGCTAGCCCCTAATGCTAGTGCATGTCCCAGACAGCAGCCTGCAGAGCCTAAGCAAATCCAAGCTCCTGATACGACTTCCCTTGTGGTCACCAGTCTCCCCCACCTCCCAGGGCCTTCCCCTTGTGTACCCCTTACATAAGATCCCCATGGAGCTTACCCAAGCTCCCTCTCTTTTTGGCTTGAATTGACTACTCTGGCCTTATCCCATGCGCCCCCAACACTCCACCCACAGACCCTAACAAGGCATGTGCCCCAGGTCCTGCCTCTCCCTCTGCCTGCACCCTGTCCTGACTTGCCTGTGTGGTGCCTCCAGTTTGCTGTGTCCTTCCTCCAGGACCTGGGAGTAAGAAGCTTCTCTATCTCAATTTCTCATGGTCAAGAATAACATTCCACTGTATGCATGTACCACTACAAAGCAATGAAAACCAACAAACCAGAGCCACATGCAACAACACTGACAACTGCCACACAGAGTAAAAGACACCACACACAAAACAATATGCAAGCCGAGTCCACCTATATGATGTTTAAAAAAATGCAAAACTATAGGGATGCCTGGTTAGGTGGTTAAAGCTTACAGAAAAGCTAGGAAGTGATTACCATGTAAGTCAGGGGCAGTGCCTGCAAAGGGCACAGCAGAACTTCTAAGGTGCTATGTTCTATTCTTTAAATGTTATTAATCTATACAGAGGTTACATGGGTGTTTGCTTTGTGATAAATCACTGAGCTGATGTTAATGTTTTATACAATTCTTATGTGCTTCATATTTAACCACAAAAAGGTTAAAAATAATTTTAACCCTATACAAATGAGTTAACAAAAGTATGGTAAGAATTACAGAATAATTTATAATGAAAAATCCAAATAATGCCAGGACTGACTTTTTCCTTTTGGTTTTCAATACACAGTTGTATTACACTATATGAGTTTCCAAACCTGGCTGCACATCAGAACCACATGGAAAACAATGAAAAAATATATATTCTTCTGTCCCATCTAACACCTACTGACTATCCACTTTCAACAAGTTCCTCAGTCAGCGGCAGCTGAGAAATACTGGCCTAGCAGAGGGCAACGGTTCTGTATGTTGGATATAGATAATGGGACCCTGTAGAGGACTTTAAAAAATGCTGATCCCCGAGCTCAATCCCCAGAAATTCTGACCCAAATAGTCTACAGTGCAGCCTGGACATGGGGATTTTTAAAAATTCCCTGATGAGGGGCACCTGGCTGACTCAGTCATTAAGCATCTGCCTTCGGCTCAGGTCATGATCCCAGGGTCCTGGGTTCAAGCCCCGCATCGGGCTTCCTGCTTGGTGGGAAGCCTGCTTCTCTCTCTCCCACTCCCCCTGCTTGTGTTCCCTCTCTCGCTGTGTTTCTGTCAAATAAATAAATAAAATCTTAAAAAAAAAATTCCCTGATGATTTTAATATGCAGCCAAGGCTGATAATCACTGGTAAAAAGTTAGAGAATGGTATACATGAGAATCATGTTGGCGGGGGGAGGGTGAAAATATACAAACACGGGGCGTCTGGGTGGCTCCGTTGGCTGGGCGTCTGCCTTTGGCTTAGATCAT